GTGTGTGTGTCTGTGTATGGGTGTGTGTATCTGTCTGTGTGGGTGTGGGTGTGGCTGTCTGTGTGTGTGTCTGTGCGTATGTGTGTCTGTGTCTGTCTGTCAGTCAGAGACATGTCTGCGACTAAACATGTTGCCCTTTGCAGTTGAGAAGCTCAGAGACAGCCAGCCCATCGCTCATCAATGATAAACCGCACGGCATCATCAGCTGTGGAGCCATGATCCTTTCCAGCAAGAAAAAAATGAAACGCTTAGAACACAAACCTGAACAAAGCCATGGGACCGAGACCTGGTGATCCAACTGAATCTAATTCCCTTTGAAAATTGCCAACAGGCTCAGCAAAGAATCGGTGGCCACACATTGTCAGCTGTTAACTGAGCAAAGACTTTTCACTGATTAGAAAATTCCGTGCTCCTCACGACAGAATATCTTAAAGCTCTCAGCTGCCCCTCTCGCTCTCTCTCTCTCCTTTAAATCAGGATGGCACGAAATTAATCTGTCAGTCAGTGTCTGGGAGTCGCACTAAAGCTCCCTGCTCCTGGTATTCCAATCAGCAGCTTCTCATTGATTCCCCGGACCCACTGCAGGTATCGATCAATCCGCTCCCAGTGCCTGAGAGGCAGCAGTATTACAGAAACCTCACTGCACACAGACAGTGGATCGGACTGGGGCTGGCAAAGGGGAGTCCAGGCTCTAATTTCCTCTGTGCCGGATCTTTTTACTAAGAATTGCCAATAAACTGGGCATAATCCTGCAGGTTCATCACATGACCTGCCAGAATGGGAAGATTTATCCAATAGGGTTGACTTGGCAGAAGAGACACTTTTCCCCAATTCTTCATTTTTTAAATAATTAATCAGTGGACACGATGAAAGAAACTTAAATAAAAATGAAAACTGAGATTGACTGACAGTTAATGTCTGAAATACCCAGAGACTCCAGTCCAATCCTGGAGGGCTGGTAGCTTCAATGAGGATGTGTCTGGTGTGGGGGTGAGGCAGGGAGCTGGTAGGCATTCCTGAAGAGACAGGCAGTCCAGCTAAACCATGAGGCAGTTTGCTTGGAATCCTGTCAGTACACTGGATCCAGATCCCGAATGAATGCAGACTCAACCCAAACCTGGCCTTGGTCTCAACCTGGACTAGACTCAACGAGACCTGGACTCAAATCCAGATTCAACCCAGGCCTGGGATCAGTCCAGACCCCTATTAGGCTCAGACCCAGACAGAACCTTTAAGCTAAAATCCACGTGGTTGGTGGTAAGAACTAACAAGGGAAAGGAGACAGTAGTCCATAGGGCTGTGGCAGAAAATAGATCAGGAGATGATGAGGGCACGGAAGATGGCAATACATTAATCATTGGTGACTTTAATCTCCATGGAGACTAAGTAAATCAAATTGGCAGAGGTGGCCATGAGTGTGAATTTACAGAGTGCATTTAAGACAGTTTTCTCAGACAAATAGGTAGGGATCAGGCTATTTTAGATCTGGTCAGGACAGTGACCATAACATGGTAGAATTTAGCAATCAGTTTGAGAGTGAGAAATTTGAGTCAGAAACAATGGTGCTAAACTTAAATAAGGAAAGTTACATAGGAATGCGTTGGCTGAAATTGACTGGAAAAGGGATTTTACAGAAAAGACAGTTGAGGAACAATGGCACATGTTTAAGAAACTAGTTCATTACTCACAGAAAATATACAGCCCAGTGAGGAAGGAGGATTCTGGGAAGGGGATGTATGGGCTATAGTTAACCAATGAAATTAAGGATACTATCAAATAAAAAGAAAAAATATATACAATGTGGTGAAAATTGGTGGCTGTCAAATGTTTAGTCTGACTTACATAGAACATAGAACAGTACAGCACAGGAACAGGCCCTTCGGCCCAAAATATTGTGTCAAACATGATGCCAAATTAAACTCATCCCTTCTGCCTGCCCTTGGTCCAAACCCCTTCATTCCTTGCATATTAATGTGCTTATCTAAAAGTCTCTTAAATGCCCCTGTCATATCTGTCTCCACCACTACCCCTGGCAGCACATTCCAGACTCCTACCACTCTCTGTGTAAAAAACTTGCCCCTCACATCTCCTTTAAACTTTCCCCCTCTCACCTTAAATGCATGTAATGATAGGTTTATTTTCTATATAATAAAGCACTCCGTGCAAGTTCAGAAGCATTCTAATACTTAGAGGGCACTTCCACGGAAAATACTTCAAATTGGAGATGAATGACCATTTTGTAGTGATCTTCCTTGGATGGTTTTCACTGAAATGCTCTGCAGTGTCTCTTTATTCCTCCAGTTCTGGCACAAACCCGCATTCTAGTCACAACACTGCCTTCTACTGCCCAAATCATAAACTCGGGAATCCCCTCCCTAAGCCCCTCTGTCTCTCACTCTCTCCCTCTCGACCTTAAAGATGCTTCTTTAAGAGGAGGTGGTGATGATGTCACTGGGCCAGTAACCCAGATCTCCAGGCTAATGCTCTGGGAACATTGGTTTGAATCCCACCATGGCCGATGGTAAAACTCCAATTCAAAAAACGTCTGGGATAAAAATTAGCCTAATCATGTAATCTTTGTTGTTTAAAAAAAACTCATCTGGCTCACTAATGTCCCTTAGGAAAGGAAATCTGTCATCTTTACGTGCTTTGGCCTACATGTGGCTTCAGACCCACGGCAATGTGGTTTACTCTTAACTGCCTGCTGAAATAGAATCCCTACAGTATGGAAGCAGGCCATTTGGTCCATCAAGTCCACACTGATCCTCTGAAACGCATCCCACTCTGACCCACCCCCTACTCTGTCCCTGTACCTCCGCATTTCCCATGGCTATCCCACCTAGCCTGCATATCCCTGGACACTATGGGTAATTTAGCATGGCCAATCCACCCCTAACCTGCACATCTTTGGACTGTGGGAGGAAACCAGCGCACCAGGAAGAAACCCATGCAGACACAGGGAGAATGTGCAAACTCCACACAGACAGTCGCCCGAGAGCGGAATCAAACCCGGATCCCTGGTGCTGTGAGGTAGCAGGGATAACCACTGAGCCACTGTGCCACCCCTAATTAGTGGGCCAAGGGGCAGGCAGGCCAAGCAAGTCCCTTGGTTCAATGGGCAATTATGGGTGGGCAAAAAGTACTGGCCTTGTTGGTGATACCTACACTCTCTGTGAAAGAAAAAAAATCTCCCTCTTTGACCCACATTTTGGTCACCTAGTCTAATATCTCTTTTATCGCAGACGAGGATTGGACTCAGTGTCAAGTAGCTACATCAAACTTTACAACACATTCCACCCAGACGCTCTGTGTCAGTCTACCTGCTCCCCACCAACCTCCTTCCAACTTCCCCCTCTCCCCAACCTCCTCCCAACTGCCTCCTCATATGATCCCAACCCCCGATCCTTCTATTTCCTTCACCCCAGCCTTGGGTTTCCCTTCACATTAGTGACGCTATTCACCTTGACCACTTCCCATTGCAGCAAATCCAGCATCCACCCACCGTCTGGGAGAAGACATTTCTCCTGAATTTCCCGGTTGGATTTATTTGTGAGTGCCGTTTTAAAGATGATATTGTTTGATAACATTCCATGAGTCACCTTGGAATGTTTTGCTGTATAAAAGCCGCAGATTAAATACAACTTGTAACGATTCAAATACAGATCATGGGACACTCCAAACTGATTAATTTGTTTCTCTTCAGCATTTCTCTATCAGGCAGAGGAACAATATTCCTGCAAATGGGTTATGTGTGGAAGGAAAACACGGAATTACAATCCTCACAAAACTACTCCAAATTCCT